GACAGACTCCATATTGCTGCTTGACCTACCTGCCTGCCCTTTAGATGAACTCAGAAGGAGGAAGCTTAGAAACCTCCTCTCCTTAGAGTCTCTTAGAAACAACAATTAATCAACTATTGTTTTACAAATGTTCTAACAGCAGGATGGTCCGCTTCTGTACCTTTCGCTTGCTTTGCTAGTTCTGTCCCATAGGGGGGCCTAGAAACTGTTGGCCTCAAAGGTGTATAAAATGTGTTTGTCAACCCCCAGTCGAGGCTCGAGTCCGATGCTTGGCTCGGGTCCCGGCTGGTAATAAACTCCTGTGTGGATTTAATACCGGTCTCTGGTTGGTTCTCTCTCACTGGGTGCAACAGACACAATTCAGCAGGGGGTTTGCAATCAAGTTGACATTTAATCAATTAACTACCACACATGGTGATGGCCAGTGTCATTAAGAAGATTATGTCTCACTACTCTTTTTCTCAGTGACTGCTCTGTAATAGCAGGTAAGCCAAGAGGGTTGGGGTTGGCATTTTTGATCTGTAGAATGAGATCTTAGAATGAGACTTTTCAAGGTCACTGAAAGCATCCATAAATTCTGTGCTTTGGAATTAACCTAACCAAGGAAGTGAAAGACCTCTACAACAAAAACTACAGTATTCTTAAAAAGAATATCAAAGAGGATACCAGAAAATGTAATTATATCCTGTTTCTGGCTAGGCAGAGCCAATATAGTCAAAATGGCCATACTTCTAAAACTGATATACAGATTTTAAAAACTCCCATTCAAAATACGAATAGCATTTTTCACAGAACCAGAGAAAATAATGTTAAAATTCACATGGAACCAGAATAGACTTAGAATGGCAAAAGGATTCCTGGGCACAAGAGCAAAGGAGGAGGCATCGAGTCCTGAATATGAAGTTATATTACAAAGCTACAGTGATAAAAACAGCACGGTACAGGTACACCCCTGCCCCCCAATATATAGATCAGTGGAACAGAATAAAGGATGCAGAAACAATCTCAGGTACCTGAAGGTACTTGATCTTTGATAAAGTGGCCAAAAATACACACTGAAGAAAAGATAGCCTCTTTAATAAATGGTGCTGGGAAAACTGGCTATCCATATGAAGAAGATTGAATCTAGACTCATGTCTCTCACCTTGTACTAAACAAAATCAAATGGATCAAATAGATCAAAGATATAAATGGTAAAACCAAAACTCTTAATCTACTAAAAGATAAAATAGGTAAAACTCCTAAAGTCATAGGCATAGGCAAGGATTTTCTAAACAAAACTCCAATTGTACAAGAAATAGTACCAAGTATGTTGGAGACTAGAGTAGAATTGAAGCCTATTTGGCCACCTCTGTGAGCACAAAGGAGCGAGGCTGCACTCAGGGGTGCTTGCATATTAGAGAAGACTTAAGACAGCTGAGGTTAAGTTGTTTACCAGAGAATGTATTAATAGATATTAAAAAACAGATGAATCGTGTGTTATTTTGACTGTTTGTGCCTGTGTTTGCTTGAATAAAAGTGAAGTAAGCCAAGGCTTGGGCTCCCCTGCCTACTAGAGGTATGAGTCCCCTAGTTGCCTACACTACAAACTGACTTAGTATGTCTTTGTGTTCATCCTTATCACACCCCCCCCATCAGAGAGAACAAAGTAGCACATTTAGGTCCTGGAGCAAGGTGGGCAGGGTGAGGTCAGCAACAAGTGGCACCCCACTGTGGGGCCTTGGACCCAGGCTTGCCTATACAAGAGTCAACAAATGGAATATATCTAGAATATTTTTAAAAACCCAGAAAAATTAGACCCCCAAATTAAATATCCAATCAAAAATAGGCAATACAATGAATGGACACTTCTCAGAAGAAGTGTTAATGGGCAATAAATACATGAAGAAATGTTCAACATTGATGGCCATTATAGAAATTCAAATTAAAACAACACTGAGTTTCCATCTTACCCTGGAAAGAATGACTGTTATCAAGAAAGCAAATAACAATGCTGATGAAGCTGCCAGGAGTCCAGGGTGGGAATGGGCTAGGCAACCTTTCTAACGTTGGAGGGGATGTAAACTAGTACAACCACTATGGAAACCAGTATGGAGATTTCTTAAAAAACTAAAATTAGAAATTCTATTCAACCCAGCTATTTTCTTTGTAGGTATCTTCCCAAATGTGTTAAAAATGAGACATTACAGTGATACATGGATACCCGTGTTTATAGAAGTAAAATTCATAATAGCTAAATTGTAGACATGTCCTATCTATCCATCAATAGATGAGTGGATAAAGAAAATGTGGTATGTACACACAACAGAGTACCATTCTACTATCCAGCAGGATAAATTTAAGCAACATTTTAGGAAAATTGATGCCTCTTAAGATCAGAATGTTAAGTGACATAAATCAGACACATGATTTCTCTATGTGAGAAACCAAAAATATAAGTAAAGAGCAAAATAAAAGATAATAGGAAGAAGGGAGACAGATCTTTCTCAAACGAGAACAAGATCAATAGAGAAAAGAGTGGAAGGAAAAGAATTAAGTTTTGTTGTGTACATATACCTACATCTCCCTACAAGGCATGTAATAGTTATGTACTGCAAATATGTACTAATAAAAAAAAACTAAGAAACATTGTAGGAGTAGTGTTTTAAGAGATTGGCTTCAAACCAAGAGTTAAAATTGTCAGTAAGTAAATGAGATGGGCTGAAGAGTTGCTGCATGATTGCAGCAAAAGATGGATATGAAATGAATGTCGTTATGAGATTCAAAACTGGATTCTCAGAGGAAAGACTGTGAAAATGAAGAAGAGGAAAAGTGAGGCAAATTAAAAAAAAAAATCTTCCAGTTTAGTGCAACAAGGAAGGATAAGGCAGCTTACATTTGTCACAACTGCAAAACAGGCAGTTTCTGAGGGTGCAATCCAGTTAAGTCAGAGTAAGAAGGGGAAGCCAAAGTCTGGAGAGAGGCTATGGATAAAGTGAATTTTACTTATTACTAGAAAGGAGATGAGAGACAAAACTGAAGAGGGAGATATGGAGATTCTTTCCAGGAGCATGTATCTTTTTGGAGCTCCTCTCAACTGGGGCTGAGGTATGGTGGACAGGAAATGGCAGGTTTTCTGTGACCCTAAACATCTACACCTGAGACATGCCAGTGGTACCTCCTTGACAACTCCAGAACAAAAAACTTCAGCAAAACTGCTGAGCATATGATCAGAAGTTTTATTTTTACCCATTTAAAATCCGTTGACTGTGTATTATAATACACAAGAGTCACGCAATGAATATAATTATGCATTGAATGTATAACGTGCCAGGTACAATGTAAGACAGTTTAAATAAACCATATACTTCCCTTGGATATTGAGGTCTAACTTTATAAATGTGGATGTTGAAGTTCAGAAGGGTTAATACACCAAGTTCATACTGTTATCAAATAGCAGAGACTAATTGGTATCAAAGCTGATAAGACTTCAAAGACAGTGGTATTTCATCAGAACTGTGATGGTTCTATCTAAAGTAAATATTAATAGACTTTAAAGCAAATTTTGCAATTCATTTGATCCATGAATGTTTGCATAATGTTGATCTTGAAAACCTGTTGCAATGTCTTTTCTCTGACCAATTGTTCACAAGTCACACAGGAAGAGCAGTTTAATTACTTAAAGAGAAAGCAATATGAGGGATAGGCTCTTTGGTTTTGAAAACTTAGAATTTATAATCACTAATGCCTTTGGACTAGATGGACTGAATCTTTGCAGAGATACTTAGCATGAAACACCCACACAATCTTTCCACACTGAATGAAAGCCCATAAAAATGATGGGAAAATGTTTTGTAGTTCCGCTACTATGGTTCTCAAGATCATGTGATATATAATAATTAATTGAAGTGCTTATTATAAGGTGTATCTCTGGTCTACTGAATCAGAATCTTCAGAGTGTGGGGTTCACTATTTTGATAAAGATGTCCCCCAGGAAATTCTGATTCTGTGAAAGATTATTTTGCCCCAATTTTCCTAGCTCCATGTGTATAATTCTCAGTCCTCCGCAATTCTTAATCTATCTTTTACTCCATACTATTTGATTCTTCTATAATTCATATACTTTCAAGAACTAATAATGAATAGAATTTATCTATCAAACCAAACACAAAATGAATACACACTTGTAACAACTGTGCCAGTATTTCACCTGCAGGAGTGCTAAGATACACACACACACACACACACACACACACACACACTCGTACATCATTATACTTGCAAAACAAAGTTCCATGTAAGAAGTATACTAAAAAGTTTAAAATGTTTTAATTATTGATCTAAACTTCATTTCTACTTAAAAAATAGAAAATCTTAAAACTAGGCCAAAACTCTTACATTTCTAAAACTTATTTGCTATGTGATTGAAGGAAATTCTGGTCAGTCTTCCCTCAGGTTTGATGAAAGGAAACTGTTATGCAAAGTGTGTGTTGTCATTTACACAGACCTAGCTTGTAACTGATGTGCACTTATTAGTCCCTGTGGGATATGCAGTGTCTTCCACATTATACTGAAACCCTAGCCAGGTACCAAGTAAAAAGTGCCTATTTTGTCTTCTCTTTGAAATGTTAATATAACCTGTAGACACAATTTAAATATTTCTTTGAATTCCTTTTCTTTTTTTTTTTTTTTGGTACCAGGGATTGAACTCGGGACCTTGCACTTTCGAGGCAGGCGGCGGAACCACTGAGCTAAATCCCCAGTCCCATTATAGTTTTATGTCTAAAGAAAAAAATCACTAATTTAATTGAATACACAAATGCAAGTCATCCTCAGAAATAAAGCTTTCAAAGATAGCATTCATATAAAAATTTATAAATTCTGAGTAATTATTATTATAATCTTTTGCCTACTTGAATATATTGTGAACCAGAGATAGGTAAATTTTATTTGTTTAGAACTTGGATCTAACAAGGTGGTTAATCATTGTTGGACTGATTTTTTTTTAAAAAAACAATTAACTCTTTAAAAAGGAACTTTCACAAAGAATAAAGGTTAGATTTATTGCAGTTTCTGTAGGATTCTAAGTTCAGGTAAGAACCTTTTAGATTCTTTAATTTCAACATTTCTTCTATATAAGAACTTCTCAGGCTGCCAAGAAAATATGTTTAGTGGTCTTGATCCATATTACAAATTTTATGCTTTGTGTCTTTACACCTATTTTCTAAGCCTTCAGGATATATTAAATATTTGTTCTGCAGATAGATGTACCTTAGGTTTATTTCATCTAAGATAGGAAATCATATTGATATACTGTAAAAATAAAGCTTTAAATTATTTTTCTATTACTTTCTAGACTAGTCTTAGAAAGTGGACCTGTAGTTACCTTCTTGAAATGTGCTACTAGACAGTTATTTTCACCAGCTCCATACATGGAATTATTAGACTTCCTACTTCTTTTACTCCATCTTAACTTGATGGTGGAGGGTGGAAATTAGTTGGTAAATGTAGAAAATTAGAATATGTCCCAAAGTTGCTTAACCACCTCTACTTTCCCTTTTTACCCAAAGTTTGACTCAGTTTAAGGGGAAAGAAAAAATATTTTTCAGAAATTTTTGCTTCAATTAAATGAGAAAAACATCAGGTCAACAGAGCTTCATAGGCACATGCTAGCAATGGGCCACATGGGAGCACTAGTTTTCTGTGACCCCTGAAATAGTGACAGCTGGACCCAGGAAGCAGAGGTTGCTGAGATTCTGAACCCTCGAAGCTTCCTAGCAATGGACTGGACTCTTTTCTTCAGGGGAGAATTACCAGGCTACATCCCAATACCCAGGGCCTTGTTCTTACATACTGTGTACCACATATTCACGTCTGTGTGTCATTTTGAAATCTAAAAATACATTCAGGGAAAACTCTATTAAATGCTTCCAAATTATACCTAAAATGCCATGGCAAAGTAGAAAGTATGGTATGTAGTCAACCTATACTGATATTATTGAATTTAAAAATGAGGCAAAAACAATATAGAAGTTTAATTTTTGTAATTTAAATTTTTTGTCCATGTAAATTAATTCTATATTATCTACTTGTTACTTCAAATTTCTCTCCACAAATTTATCTGCCTAATTAAATTATAAATGCCTTAAAGCTAGAATTTGCATGCTTTTCTTTCCTGTTTTGTGCCCAGCATTTATTCAGTCCAATAGCAGAAATACAGTAGACTCTGAATATATTGTAGTGATTGACTGCTTGGTTCATGTTGACCTTATGAGTTTTATTATTTTTTAATTATATATTGTTACAATGAAATAAATTATCCTTCTTAACCCTGTGTAGGTGGTCATTTCAAACCAACCATCAGCAACAATTGAAAATATTCACATAACATCTGTGGTTTAAACATGGACCAATATGAGGATGTGAATGAAACAACAGAGACAGATTCTTCAGGGAAAAGGAAAACTAGATGCTGCAATGCATTCAAGGTGGGATGAGCGTCATGGTCCAACTAAAACAAGGGAAGGGGGAATTTTTATTTATAGAAAAGGTGGCCAATTGTTGAAAAAACATTACTTTTCAAATTAGAATTTTTCAATTGTAGCATTCATTGATCTATCAACAAAGTGATCTATATATTTATTTAGATATCTTTAAATATGATCAATGTCTATCTTTGGTGATATTTCTGATGCCTAACTGTTCATGAATATGGAAAATTAGAAATGTTTTAATATCTTTACTTTAATTCTTGACCAAGAGATATGTATGAATGTGATTAAAATAAAAGATGTTGTATAATGTTTAATTTAAAAATATTCTTAGACGTAACCAACAAACTTAGAAGGTTAATGTCTTGTGAATCACTTTGCAATCTTGACCTGTTTAAATATTCCTAGAGAGCAACATTTTTTATTCTGAGAATTTAAGTAACATAGAAAGAAAGTACATACTGGTAATTAAAACTGCAATTATCAAAAGATCTGGCCCAGAGACCTAGTTGATGACTTATACAATCTGTTTAATTTTTCCATTTGCAAATTGGTAAAAACAATTATGTGTTTTCCTTTTGTCACAAAACTGTGGGCATTATATGATATTGGCATTTTCATAATTAGGAAAAGTACTTGGTATGCACACAGCAGAATGAAGAAATTAAGACTTAGGGAAGCAGAAAAATTTGCCTAAAGGGGTCTATCTTGTAATTTGAACACCGTTAAACCTAGGATACACTTTTTCAACCCCATAAAGAAAATCTTGAAGAAATTGAGAAGTCAGTCAGAGCCACTTTTTAGTAATAGTTCAGGTTTTTCACTTAGTTGAAGTTGGAGTTTTTCCTAGCTGAATAAAGACCATGGAGATGATAATTGCAATTATGTAATGTATAAATTTCCTTTTAAATTTGTCCAGGGAACACAAAATCTGTTTTCAGAGATTCCTGATAAGATCTGTTCTGAAGAAATATTTGAATAATTTTAAGCCAAATGACAGTCACAGGAAAGACATTGGTTAATGGAATTGAATTCTATCCTATTTTCTAGGGTGATATACTGAATGTTACAGTGATTTCACATTAAACTGTATAGAAAAGTTACACAAATTTGCTGAAGCAAGTATGATTTTCATAGATATCTCTTACAGTATATTTGGAGTAAGAGGCTGGGAATTGGGAATTAGCAGTGTCTGTAAAACACATTACCTGTTGCCCAGTAAAGAAGAGAAGAGAAGCAATCATAAGAGTAGCTGGAACTTATTAAGTACTTAGTATTATGCTACACATTGCTCTAATGTTATATTTCTGTTAGTAGATTTATTCTCTGCAATTCCGTCAACCAGATGTGATTGTCTCCTTTTTATGGATGAAAAAAACTTAGGTATGTACAGGGTAAATGATTTCCCACAGGGTTCAAAGCTAGTAAGTAGTAGGAACAGGTCTGAGCTGAGACAGTCTGAAGTCAAATCTCATGCTATCAGCTCTATTCCATGTTGCTAAAGTAGCTATGGATTTTGATAACATTAGCATCCTTAACATATTATGATAAGTAAGGATTTATGAAATGACTGTTTAGTGATCTTCCTCACTGCATACTTTTAAAAGTTCAACTTCAGATGAAACTATTCAGTATGAAGCATCTATGGGATTCTTATAATTATTTTGTATGCGCACATATAAATCTGCATGTTGTTACTGACTCTTGTGTACAGACTCAGCAGTTAGAATTGAGTATAAAAGTGAAAAGGAAGATTGAACCTATTTGAATGACATACTTTGATTCTTTCTGGCACCTTTCTCTCAATTTTCGTATTTAACCAGTTGGGATCCAGAGAACCTTCCGTATATTTTTCACTTTTAACACTGTCATTGCTCCTCTTAAGATTACTTGTACCTCTCTGTTGTAATAAAAATTCTTCAACAGTACGCAAGTAATGTGGTATCAACCCAAAGCATACATAGTAGGACAAAAGCAAACATTTTCCCTGTCTGCTGATGGTCCCACTCCTTTTCTGCCTAAACAACCCAATAGATAAATCCCAATAATACAACCTGCTGGCTGGCTTTCTTCCAGCCACAATGGTGTTTTTCTGGTCCTTGAACATGTGAAGTTCACATCCATCTGTGGGAATTTTGCACTTGACATTTGTTTCTGAAGTGTTTTTGTGTAAATCATGTGGCTTGCTCTCATTCAGATTTCTATAAACATTGTGTCAGCTTTGACCATCCCATGTAAATAGCCTCATCTGTTACTCCTTAACTCATTTGTGATAGATGGTATGGAAAAAAAAATGATGCTCAGACACACATGTTTATAGTTGTGTGAGTGTGTGTGTGTGTATGTATGAGTGTTTAATGGCTTGTAACAAAATAAATAAACTTTCACTTCAGCAGAATAGCGTCGGCAGGGTAGACTCAGGCTGGTGGCAAGACCAGGCTCCGCTGTGGAAGTTCTTGGGAAAACCTCCTTTCCTTCCTCCAGATTTCAGAGGCTGCCCCAGTTGGTGCATTGACTCCTTTTATATTCAAATCTAGTGATGCTGGTCAAGTCCTTCTGAGGTCTCATTTCATCAACACTGTCTCTTCCACATTTTAAGAACCCTTGTGATTACATTGGTTTCACCAGAATAAACCAGGTTAATCTCTGTTTTAAGGTCCTCTGGTTAACAACCTTATTGTTCTGTAATATAAGTTGAACCTATCTATACACATTCCTTTGCATAGTATACTAATTGTCTTAGCTATGTAAACAATTATTTTGGTGTTTATAGAATTTTAAACTCAGTATTATGATGTTAAATAATCCATATTATTTCATATAGTGAGAGTTTGGGCACTTTGATTGTTATGTAAAACTCCTATGACATTAATAAACCCTGATTTATTTCTTTACCGACTCTACATTTTAAAATTGTTTTCAAGGCTTTTCTATTATAAATAATGTTGGTATAAATATTCCTATTCATGTTTCTTGATGATACTTAGAATCAGAATAGGTAGAACATGGAATATGTTAGTGTTCAGCTTTACAAGATGATGTTAAATTGTTTTATTAAAGGAACTGTACTAATTGAATACCAATCAGCAATCCATAAGTGAAGAGTTGGATATGTATTCTCTATCATACTTAGTATCATCAGACTTCTCATGTTTTGAAATTTAAATGAGAACAAAATGGTGTCTAATTTTGGTCTTGCATTGCATTCTTTGATAACTAGTGAGATTTAACATTGCTTCACAGGTTATTAGCCCTGTATTCTCCTTTGTAAAATCCCGTGCATATATTTTATCTATTTTTATATTGGATCATTTATCTATTGCTACTTTTCTTGAGTTGTGTATATAAATATAATATTTTAGTGTTAATTTATTATTATATATTATTATATGTTAGAAGATTGTAGATTTTAACTAATTTTTTATTTTCCTAATGAATTTTTTGATGAATAGGTATTCTTAACTTGATATATTTGAGCTTATCAAGTGATTTTATAACTGGGAACTTGTGTAAGTAGTCAGTTTTATTTGTGAATACCTTATTATTTTAATATGAGTAAACTTCATGTCTATATATTTTGCTTTCAATATAAAAATCTTTCCTTAAATAACACTAAATTTTATGTAAGATGTATGGTAGAAAATTTATTTCCACTCTTTCCCATATATGTAACTATTTTTTCCAGCTCTGTTTATTGACCAGTTTCTCCTTTTCCTGTTTTCCTTCCATGACCCTTCCATCCTATATGAAGTGTCGTATCCATATGAGTCTTCTCTGGGTCTATTTTGTATTTGTTTATTAATTTATTCCTATATTAGGAACAGATATTGTCTAAAGCTTCATATTATGTGTTACAATTTTTAGATTAGGCAATATCTTTTTACTCTTACTCAGAAATGACTTCAATATTCTTGGTCATTCCAAAATTTTATACAGGTTTATTTTTAAAAAACCTATTAAGTTTTATGAAAAACTTCCTAGAGATTTTGATTGAAATCTTTGTAGATTGCTTTAGGGTTGTTACAAATCTTTAAATATTAAACCCACTGTCTGTGAATATGATATAATTCTTTATTTCATCCCTCAAAAAAGTTTTTAAATTTTCCTTATTTGCTGATATTTCATTATAGTTTGTACACAATCACAATTGCAAGTGATCTGTTATTTTTCTATATTTTGAATGACTTGTTTTGGTATCAGTGTTATGTTGTTTTTGGTAGAATGAGTAGAGTAGTAGTACAATTTTTCTCTTTTGTGAAACAGTTTATATACATTTGAATAATATCTACCTTGAAATTTTGGAAAGTGTACCAATTCTAGATTGCTTTTTTACTATTTTAGAAAGTTTTATTCTCCTAGATATTTATTAAGTTCAACATTCATCTTGAATTTTTTAAAATTTAATTTTTAAAATCATCTTTGGGTTATAGCAAAATTGTGAAGAAGGTGCAGATGTTTCCCATATTAAGGGTGGTAGAGTAATTAATCTGGTAAAAAAAAATTTCAAGGCAGTTAAACAGTCCAGTTGTGGCATGGGTACTACTGGCTTCTCTTAACTATATTTAGAGTGAGAATCTGCATTTATAACAGAATGGAGAGAAGAGTATTTAAAAAATTACATTTTGGCCCAAAGGAACCACATATAAAGAAGAAATTAGCTGCTGAAGAGATTAGCACCATTAACAAGAAACTAAGTATTTTATACTGGGGCAAGAAAAAAAAAAGATGTCTTGAGGACACTTAGGAATCAGCAAGAAAGTCTTGAAACCCTTGCTAGAGAAAGGCTGCATTGGGAATTCATTCGCTTGATTCATTTCACTCTACTCAGCCATCCAGGCAATTAGAAGCTACTGCTGTCATGACCTAACTGGTCTGGCTACTGCCCACGCTGCTGGTAGACTTTGTCATCCACATTATCTTTGTTTTACTTGCAAGCAGAATGTAAGAGTTGTGTGATCAGGGTGTCTTTCCCTCAGCTTTCAAAGGAAGCACTTGGA